TTTTTTCTATTTGGTTTATTTTGCTCATTTCTTAAGGTAGTTCTTACTTTTTAAAAAAACTATGAAATATTTCAAACATACAGAAAATTGCATGGAATAGCAGTGTAGCCTCATCACAGATGAACATTTTGGCATATTTGCTCTTTATTTGTGTTTAAATTATAGATACAATAGAAGTCCCCATCCCATTTCCCCTTTTAATCTCCCAATCTAAACACTACCTTGAAATTAATGCTTCCTTCAATTTGTTTTTATTTAGGCTTTCCATATATGTATTCCCCCCCTAAGTAATACATAGTATTGCTTTATGTATTTTCCAAGTTTACCTAGGTGGAATCATCCTGTTTGTATCTTCCATAGCATAGTATTCAAAATTTGTCCCTGTAAATAGAGATCTCTAATACAGGGTGGGGCAAAGTAGGTTTGCAGTTGTGAGTACACGAAACTGAGTTTATTCTTGTATTATTTATTGTATTATTTACCCTATGAACAACTGTAAACCTACTTTTGCCCCATCCTGTATAGATTTGGTTAATTTATTTGAACAGCTCTGTAATATTCTGATGAGTAAATATACCACTTTTTAAATGTTTAATAATTTTAATGTTGGTAGTTTCTAATTTTTTGCAATTATGAAAGTAAAAATGAACTTCCTTTTGCATGTTTCCTTGACAACTTAGGTTACAGATTCTGTAGAATCCATACCTAGAAATCCAGTTGCTAGGTTAAATGATAATGAATATCTTCAACTTTAGTGGATGTTGTTGTATTTCTATGTTATACTAACTCATATTCCTACTAGTCAGAATGGTAATTTCTCTGTCAGGAATTGAACTCAATTGTCAACACTGGAGACTGATAGTGGTGTACCTAGTGTGTGGTTTTCATGATTAAGATTGCCTCATGGTCCAAGTTGGCTCCTAGAGTACAGCTGTCATGGCCACAGGTGGGAAGAGAAGAAGGAAGAACTAAAAGGGCTACCCTGGAATCAGCAACCCTTTGCGCTGACATTTCATTGGCCGCCCTACTTTACATGGAAGATTGGGATATGTAGTGTTAGCTGGGGTGGGACATGTGCATTTGTTGTCACAGGTCGCATTGCTAGTATCTGGTACTATTAAATGTTTCAGTTTGGGCAGTCAGGTGGGTTTGAAGTGGTATCTTACTTTTAAAATTACATTTACCTAATCACTGGTGAAGTACAGAATTTTTTTACTTGTGTGTTCAGGTTTTCTTTTCTGTGACTTGCCTCTTCATATACCTTTGCCATTATTCTATTAAGTTTTGTCTATTCATGATTAATTCAGCATATGCTTTATTATCCAGGGTATCCTTTGTTTCTTTACATCCAAAAAGATGTTCTTGTCTTATTTTTGAACTTTTGGTATGGTATCCTTTATCAGACAAAAATATTCATGATAGTGGAGTTAAAGTTGACAGGTCTTACTCTTTGTGATTTATTCTTTTCACATATATACGTGTATGGGAAGAAATTTTTTCCCCACCCTGAAGTCTTAGACTTTCAAAACAAAAATGTTTTAAACGTTTGTTTTTCAAAAATTACATTTGGGAGTTTTTGTGTTTTTGTTTGTGCATAACTTGAGGTAATGGCCTAATTTAACATTTTTTGTGTATGGAAGGCTACTGGTCTCAGCAGCATTCATGGACTAGTCCATCCTTTTGTCACTGCTTGCTTTGCTACATCTGTCATAAATCCAATTGCCTAGGTGCACGGGTTTTCAATCTGATCCACTGGCATATTTACCCTGCCCCCATATTAATACCACCATCTTTTATTGTGAACGTTTTATATAAAGGTCTTTGTCTAGTAGATCAGTCCCCCTTTTTAAAAATTGTGTGAGCTATGCTTGGCTCTACTTTTCTACATAAGTTTTAGGATAAGCTTGTCCTGGTGCATGATAATTTTGATTAGAATCTAACTAAATTCTTAGGTTACTTTGGGGGGGAATTTGGCATCTTTATGATGTTGAGTCTTCACATTTGTAAGCATGCTTTTCCTCTGTATTTAGTCAGATTGTTATGTCCTTTAGTAACATTTCATACTTGTTTTTGTAAATGTTTTGCTTCTTTTGTAAGATAAATTCTTAGGTGTTTTATAGGTTTCCTTTTTATTGTTAGTGGTGTCTCTGTAAACATTTTTCTAAGTGGTTACTGGTGATACATAAGGATGTTATTAGTTTTATCTAGATTTTGTCTTTAGGAACCCTTATCTCGATCTTAGTAGTTCAATTTTTCATTGTCCCCCCCCCCCCCCCCTTCCCCCCCCCCCCCTTTCTTTCAGTAAATCCACATTCAGTAATTTCTGATTTTGTATTTTGGTCACCTGGCCATTTTGTCTTTCATGTGAACATGAGAGCTATGCTGCCGTCCCTGGTTTTTGAGGCAGCTCAGGCCATTCCTTTTTATTTTTTTTAAATGTTGCCTATTCTCAGTTATGGCCAAAAGGAACTACCGGAAGAAATAAGAAATTTACATTAGGTTATGTGCCTTAGAAACTATAGACATCTTCCTCTCTAATGCGAATTGCTCCTTTGTGCCTGCTCTTCTCATCCTTAGTCCTTCATTTACTTCTTACCTTCACTTCCCTGGTTCCCATATTTTTCTTTCTCTTTTGGTTGCCTTTCTATTTTTCCACCCGTCCCTCTCCTCCCTTTATTTTCTTAGCTATAGTTTTTACCACATACCAGGCACTTTATTTTGTGTTTTGCATATGTTAGCTCCTTTGATCTTTATCACAGTTCATTGAGGATGGTGGAGTGATCCATTTCCTAGATGAGGAATTGAGGAGCCCAATCTTATATAAGCAGAAAGTGGGAGAGTCTGGGTACTAAGTCAGGCCTGCAGACTCTAATATCAGTGGTCTTTCTGCTTCACTACACTACTGATGTTCAATTCCTTCCTTACTGTTTTTCTAAGTAGATGAGTTAAGTGTAGTAAAAATTCTAGTAAATCTATTGAGATGATGTCTTTAGACTAAATTAATTCAAGTGTGTGTTTTGAGTGAAGGGTGTTACTCAATCTTTTGTGAGAGTCATTCTGTAAAAGCACTCAAAATGAAAAGAGAGAGAGAGAGAAGAGACTTAAAAAAAAGAAATAGAAGTAAAAGTTCATGTCAAGTATGCTTTACCATAAGTATTCTCCGAAGCCCTGGGCTACATGCGTGCTCCAGTAGGTGGTCCTGTTGTGAGAGCGCTGTGCTCACCTGTGTCCTCGAAGCATAGGCCCTCTCTTCTTACAAGGTTGGTGTCCTTGCATTGTAGGTGTTGATAGGAGAAGGGAGTTAAGTACACTGGATTCTATTTATGGCTATATCACTAATAGCCGTGTTCTCGGCAAGCCATTGTCCTTTTAGGGGCATTCATCTCTAACCAATGTAGGTCAGGCATGAGGGGAAGATTAGTGGTGGAAAGTTTCGGAGGGTACAGCTGGATCCATAGATTAGTGACAACATACAAAATAATTTTTATTTATTTTTATTTTTTTAAATATATTTTATCCTTACTGGGGATGTGCCCGCAACCAAGGTACATGCCCTTGACTGGAATTGAACCCGGGACTCTTTAGTCTGCAGGCCGACACTCTATCCACTGAGCCAAACCGGTCAGGGCCAAAATAATTTTTAGGTAATTTTTTTGTATCATCCTGATAGTTGTTTTCACTCTTTGTAGTACTTGTTCATGTGTGCAAATACTTTAATCTATATATATAAAAGCCCAAGTGACCGTCCAACCGGTAGGGGGCAGGTGCTCAGTGCAGGAGCGGAAACTGCAGGCATGGAAACATGGAACAGACTGATGAATCTCAGAGGGGAGGGGATAGAGGGGAGGGTGGGAAGAGATTAACCAAAGATCTTATATGCATCTTAGAGGCCCAGCGCACAGCCTGGCTTGCGCACTCTCGCAATTCGGGACCCCTCGGGGGATGTCAGAGAGCTGGTTTCAGCCCGATCCCCGCAGGCCAGGCCGAGGGACCCCACTGGTGCATGGATCCGTGCATCGGGCCTCTAGTAGTGTTATAATCATGGTATTACTTAGGGTCTGCATTTTGCTCATGCATACCTCTCATGAACTGTATCATTTTAAAATAATTTAATTTTAGATAATTCCTTTAATGATGTACCATTTCCTCTTGTGGGATAGTTCAGTGGTTTCTAGTTTGTTTTTGTTTTTGTAATTTCTGGACTGTTTCTTTAAGTTAGATCCCAGTCATAATTCTGTCAAAGGGTATAAATACTTTTATTTCTCTTGCTTTATTGTCCAGTTGCCTTCAGACTGTTTTAAAACCCTCTATAATGCTGCCATCAGTTTTTGAATGATTCAGTTTAATTATAGCCAGCATTCATTCATTTAAGGAATGTTCATTGAGCCCCTGTCCTGGTGGAGTGTAGGGAATGTAGATGAAAAACATAATAAAATAAATAAGTTATATTTTATACTAAAAGATGATACGGGTCATTCAAAGAACAGCAAGGCAAGGCAAGGCAAGGGGTTGCTGAGAGTGGGATGACTTGTAAACTGCTCCAGAGAAGGTGCATTTGAGCAATAACTTTTGAGGCATTGGGTTTGCTTTATGTATTTTCTTCTGTCTCTCTTTTATTTTATTTACTTATTAAGAAGTTTTTATAGTATATCAAGATAACTGTAATCTATTTTCTTTGTTAGTGAGAATGAACAGCTTTCCACGTTTTCTATTTGTATATTTAATTATGGCAATATTTGAAATTTGTATAAAGCTCAAAAGTTTTCTATGTAAGACTGTTCCTGCCTTTACAATTAAGAGTGGGGAAAATTGGGCAAATCAGTTTGTGTTTAAGCATGAGGAGAATGTTCTGTCCAGAGCTTTAATAAGGAACGAAAAATTTCTACAAGATTTTTTTTTTAAATGAAGTTTGCTTTTTTGTTAATTGTATTTCTGTTTTAAGTGAAGGAAAAATGGTACATAATATGATGTATAAGAGTAACATATTTGTTATTTTATAGGGTGACTGTTGGATCTGTATGGAACTCATGTCTACCTCGTTTGATAAGTTTTACAAATATGTATATAGTGTATTAGATGATGTTATTCCAGAAGAAATTTTAGGCAAAATCACTTTAGCAGTAAGTACCTGGTTTTCAAATTGTTCATTCTCTATGTGCTCATGTAAAGATGCTGCTGGCATTTGAATGCACATGCCCAGATATCCTTCACAGAATTTTACTGACTTTCCTGGAGGATCACTGGTAAAGGGACAGAGACTGAACCACTTCTGTGGGGTAATTGACACAATCATAAAGAACTATTTTCAAAATGTGGTCTGTAGCACAAAAGATTGTGCTGTCAGTAAGATTAGAACAAGCAATTTTCTGTGCCCTTTTCCACTGTTGGTTTAACTATTTTTAAATATGTTCCCTTTTCCACTGTTGGTTTAACTATTTTTAATATGTTTTAAATATGTATTATCATGCTTATGCCTAAATTAATCAGAATCACAGCAGTATCCTTGAAGTCTCTTAATTAAAACTCTTCGTGGTTTAAGAGTTGGGCTATGCAGACTAAACTATTTAAATTTTTGACCAGCAATTTCAGTAACCAGCATTATTGCTTATTTGGTCAATTCACTTTTACCTGAATACCAAAACAAAAAGAGGTACTTTTTTACTTATGTTTTTATAGTCTTGAAAGTGGGGTCATGATTATTTCCTTTCTTGCTTTGAATCTTTTAGTTGACAAAGGTTGTTCATAATTATTTTTTCTGAAAATAATTTTCTGTGATAGCGTAAAATTAATAAGATTCTTAGAAACCCCTGAGACTCTGATCACAATCTGGCGTAGTGGATATGTCAACTAAATTTTATAGGAAGCTGTAAGCTACCTAGTTGCATTTAATTTCCCTACTCTCCCTTTCCTGCATCCTCATATCCAGCATAGGTTGTCTGTCCATTGCATTTTATCCTACTTAATCATTAATGTTTAATGTTAGTTTAAACATTAGTTTAAAAGTTACAGGTCTCTTGTTAATGTTTTAAATTATTTAATGCTTAAAATTAAATGTTTAATTAGCTAAATGTTAAGATATATACCCTTACATATATTTTATAAAAAGAAGCAGAGTTTTACTAGAAACTTGTTAATTATTCTGACTGGTCTAGGAAATTTTATATTGATCAATTTAGTCATCTGTCTCCAGTATACCAAAGCCAGTATTATCTTGGAATTTGTTAGTATTCATAGAAACAATAGTAGCATAATGAAAACAGCTAGTGATTATTGAATGTTTATTTATATCAGGCCAAGATCTTATGACATTTTATCTTCATAGCAACTCTCTATGGTAAATAATGTAACTTGTTTACAGATGACAGATCTGAAATATGGAGAGATTGAGCAATTAATTTGCTTTGAAGTTTATATAATTTTAACTGGTAAATGCTTTAAGCCCAGGCAGCCTAATCCCAGAATCTTGTTTTTAACCACTGTACAAGGTGATTATGAAGTTAGAAAACATAGATAAAGTTATTTTATTGTATAATGAAATATGTGTTGTGTATGTATACTAATAAATAATGTATTATATATTTGCCTATGTTTCTAGTCTTGGTGATCACCTTGTATATTAAGCACAACATTTAAAATTACTTTGATTTAAATCTCTCTTTTTAAATTCTTACCTGAGGATATGCTCATTGATTTTTAGAATGAGAGAGAGAGAAACTTTGATGTGAGAGAAACATTGGTCAGTTGCCTTCCTGTTTGCTACCAGACTGGAGATTGAACTCCCAACCTAGGCTTGTGCCCTGAATGGGAATCAAACTCATAACCTTTGGGATGGCGCTCCAACCAATTGAGCCACCCAGCCAGGTCGATTAATCTCTTCTTGCTAATTAATAACTCCATGAACTCGCAAGCCTGACTGTTTGAGACATTAGAGACACATGGCTCTGCAAAAGTTACTTTGAAGGCTCAGCACCCAATGAGGGTGAATAATTGTGAGAAACTGAGACTTTAGAAGAACTTAACTAAGTCAGGGTTGATAATGGATTCAGCCTGTTGGACTTTTCCTATACTACATATTTCTATTCTTGAAGAGTTTGAAGATATAAGAAATATTATACAACTTGTTAATGACTTACTAAAAAATTGTAAGTTTACAGGGTTTTCTTTTTAGCTGTCAGGGCAACTAAGTTTTTAAATTTAAAATCAACATTCAGCATCTTCAGTTAACAAAAATTGCACAGGATGTTGAAACATTAAGCTTACAAGAATGCAATGGGCTATGTGGGCTGTTACTTAAGATAAACTGTTGTGCTGTTTGATTAAAAGGAAATTGTTTATCCCATCTCTGCTTTTTCTCCACAGACTGTGAAAGCACTAAACCACTTAAAGGAAAACTTGAAAATCATTCACAGAGGTGGGTACAGAATTATTTTTTATAGAACAACTATTCCTTAATAGGGAAAAAATATTGAAAATTACAGTGCCACTTTCAAGCAAAACCTATATGTATCCTAAAACTTCACTATTAGGGTTTTTTCCCTTTGGGGGTCTATAGATTTTAGTCTACCTTATTAATATGTTTGGCTTAGTAATTGAAGGAGATTTTGCTGTAAATTCTTATTATTCTTAGTTGAAAAGTTATTATTCATTTGCCGATAGATAATTAGTGTTTCTCTTGTATACTACTAAGGCGTGAAGGTGGTCCTGTGGGCAGTCAAAGGAGAATCAGAGGGTAACTGCCTTGTGTGTTGCAGGCACACTACTGTCCCTGTGAAGTGCTGCAATCAGAGATTCCTTTAACTGGAATTGCTATAAAGCATTTGTATTTGTGAGAATAGTGATCTTGTCCTTATTAAACACACATTCAAAAATTTTAAACATTTGATGTAGACCTATTGCATGACAGTGGGAATCCCGAGTTTAATTCAGCACATAGACTAAATAGTTGCTCTGGTATCATGACAGACCTAAGACAATATGTGACAGTGTGTGATTCATCCTGATAGTAAATAAGTAGGAAAGTCAAAGGTCATATTCAGAGAAGTGCAAAACCTTGAATTCTAAGTATCATAGTTTCTAGTGGTTAGAGAAATTAGTAATTGGGACATTTATTTAAGTAATTTTAGTTTGGGGTTGACTCTGGTCCAGAAATTAGTTAACCTTAAACATCAAAATAATTCATTTATTTTTGCCTACCTGATATTTTTAACATAAAATAATGAATTTTTCTTCATTATTTTATGTTAAAATAATATTAGGTAGGCTCCTAATTTCCTTTTTGGCCTAAAATCATGTAGGATTAGGTCCCTAAACAAAATTATTTTGTTCCTCTCATAGTTCATCTTGTTCTTGTTTTGGGGTTTTTCTCTCCCTTTTTGCTGTGTTCTGCAATTATGAGAGTACTAGAGGCCTGGTGCATGAATTCATGTACGGGTGGGGTCCCTCGGCCTGGCCGGCGATGGGGGCCAATTGGGGCTGGCTGGCCCGGGGGAGGGACTGCGGGAGGTTGGCTGTGGGAGCGCACTGACCACCAGGGGGCAGATCCTGTGTTGAGTGTCTGCCACCTGGTGGTCAGTGCACGTCATAGCCACCGGCCAGTCATAATGGTTGCAACAGTTGCAACGGTTGCTTAGGCTTTTATATATATAGACTAGAGGTCCGATGCACGAAATTCGTGCAAGAGTAGGCCTTCCTTCCTCCGGCTGCCGGCACTGGCTTCCCTCTGGCACCCGGGCCCCGGGCTTCCCTCTGGCCACCAGCACCTGGGACCCGGGCTTCCCTCACAGCCCCAGCTTTGTCCGGAAAGTCGTCCAGTCTAATTAGCATATTATACTTTTATTATTATGGATTGCCTTTACCGTAGAGCGATTCAAATACCTTAGGAATACTCAAGGTATCACAGAAAAGCACTAAGGCAGTGCCTGAGGAGGAGTAAGATAAAAGGGAAAGTCTTCAGAAATAACTTTTGTTTTCCTATTAGTAAATAAAATGATGAGTTTATAGCAGTCTTTTTATCACTTCAAATTAGTTAGCTTTTTTTTTTTGCTACAGGTAGAGTGCTTTGATTACAGGTTACAGAAAATTCTGATAACTGGCTTAAACTCCAAGGAAATGCATTCTCTGTGGTAATAAAGTCCTGGCACAATTTGGTTAGAGTTCACGCTCCTTCTTTAGGCTGTGCCCTCCTTAATCTATTGGCTCCATCCTCAGGGTAGTAACAGCTAAAGCGGTCCCTAGTGTCACATAGTCTTTGACACATATTGTACAGTAGCTTAGTATACTCTTATAGGTTAAATTCATTCTTTATAGTTTGACTGTTAAGTAATGAATTTGAAGCAAGTAAATGAATATGTCCCTTGATGAGAACAAAACAACATAATAGAATGCCTAAATGTATTGTATAGTATTTTTTTAATACACTTGTAGTTTTTTTAAAAAATATAATTTTATTGATTTCAGAGAGGAAGGAAGAGGGAGAGAGAGCTAGAAATATCCATGATGAGAGAGAATCATGGATTGGCTGCCTCCTGCAAGTCTCCCACTGGGGATCGAGCCCACAACCCAGGCATGTGCTCTTGACCGGAATTGAACCTGGGAACTTTCATTTCGCAGGCTGATGCTCTATCCACTGAGCCACACCGGGTAGGGCTGTAGTATTTTTTGATACTGAGTTTTTAAGCATCGGTCTTCAGAGAAATTTCGTATTTCTCATCTTCTCATACATCTGAATATTAAGGACTTGATCACTTATGTTGTCTAAGGTTTTTCAGTATTTTTACTTAAAGTACTTTAGAATGTAGCTCATTTGATTGATTACTTTTACACTGAATGGTACCTGTCTCTTTCAGATATCAAACCTTCCAATATCCTTCTGGACAGAAGTGGAAATATTAAACTCTGTGACTTTGGCATCAGCGGACAGCTTGTGGACTCTATTGCCAAGACCAGAGATGCTGGGTGTAGGCCGTACATGGCAGTAAGTGAAAGGCCCAGCCCTTTTAGAAGCCTGACGGTCATTGCAGTGGGAGACCGCCTTTGGTGCTGTACCTGAGGACTCTGCCATTGGTCGGTCATGCAGTCTCACCAGGCTACAATCCTTTTCTCTTCCCTAAAGACCAAATTCAGGTTCTAGCTGCTCCATGAAATGTTGCAAAATTGTCCCAGTGAACTCCTGTTTGATTGTCTTACTCTGTTCGTCTTTGGTACTTAGCTTGTGGTCTTCTCTGACTCTACTAATCAACTAGATCGTTAGTGCTCAGCAGGCCGCTCTGAGTTTTTAGCACTCCATATGTTATCTTGACTGTAATAGGATTGGCTGCTTCCTGCAAGTCCCCCACTGGACATGTTGATAATGTGTCCTGGCCATTAAGTGGTACTATTTCCAGCTAGAGAAGAATGGAAGACTCAAGTTCATGGTAGAACTCAGTATATCTATAAATCTGAGGCTTTGTTTTGTATACTGTTGATCTCTTTAGAGGGGGACGAAGCACACTAACAAATGCAAGAAAGATGCCTTAGTATTTGCCAACCTGGAGTCTCTTTCCCTTCAGGGAGACAGAGCTCCACTATCCTTCTGCACAGGTCATTCTCATCTTTTTTTTTTTTTTTTTAATTCTTTAAAAGTATTACATGTCTCCTTTCCCCCGCATTGACCTCTCCAAGCATGCCCCCGCCCGTCATCCTCATCTTATCCCAGTGCTGCATACACTACAAATTTAGTGTCTGTATTGTAAACATTCTCCTAGTGTGTTGGTGTCTTCCTTACCGTGGCTGTGGTTCTTTGGGGACTGGTTTTGCGTCGTTATTAAAGCAGTCCTTCTCATCAGTAGTTTCTGTTTCCGTCTTTAGGACTTTTAAATTTTAGATTAGCTATGAGCTGAATACAGTTTTTCTCTCCTTTTAATTGTTAGCTTCTTTCTTGATTTACACATTTCCAAACCCAGTGCTGTAAGCAATAGAAAAGTAAGTAACATCATAAGCTACATGTTACAACTTTTTTATCTTGTTTGTGGATAGGCAGGCTCAGTGCTACACTTATGTACACTGATTTTAAAAACCTGAATACATTGTATTTTCAGTGTTATTTAAAAGTAAATTTTTTTCTTTTCACTTTTCTCTCAGCCTATAAATAGTTGAATGCACAGGATTACATGCATTTTTTTATGTATGTTTTGTTGCCTGTACTTTGGTCATTGCATTTGAAAATGATTGTATTTGAAAATTTTCCATTATTAACCCTATTTTAGAATTTTTGCTTTCAATACCTTGTTTTTATTTTGTTATATCTTTTTATGTCACCTTTTCCACAAATGAAAATGTCAGAGGGGTGTGTGTGTGTGTGTGTGTGTGTGTATGTTAATTGTTACAAAAAGATACCTTCATTTAGACTTCGGACTTTGTAGATGGTGACTGTCTAGGCAGAGTCTTGGGGAGATTTGGATGATCTTGCATTCATCATGATAATTAGGGATAAATGGAACAACCAGATCAAAAGCAAGAAAATAAATTAAAATATGGAGTATTTGGGAATTCATATAATTTACACATTTAGCAATCATGCCCTGAGAATTAAGTGTAAACTGTTTGTACTTTTAGGGCTTGTCTCAGTACTAAGGTTGACTAAGTGTTTTTGCTGTGTAACATTGGTTAAGAATTATATTTGATTTATGTGGATGTTAAAGGTGCAGTTGCAGCCCTGTTATAGCTGATACTTGCATTCAGGTAACTTTTAGAAAGAAGTAGACTTTCGGTTTCTGTGTAGAAGTAAGTAAGGTTCAAGGCCTGGGAGGGACAAACTTTTCTCTTCCTGCTGACCTGCTTCAGCTTTAAAGGAAGCAGGCTGATGGTAAACTCTGCCTCTGATCTTGACTGGACTGAATGAAGCATTTCTGTCCATTCCAGTCTTCTGAGGCTTGGATGAGTGGACAAGAATATAATCAGCATTCATCCTACAAGCCTCTGAGTAACTTGACTTTCTTAATGTATCTTGACAGAAGATATCAGCAATGCACCTTGTCTAGTCTATAGGAATTGTGATTTCTTAGATTATATTTATCATAGAAAGTGTACAAAGTGTAGAGTTTAAACTTAAGTTTTCTCATAAACCAGTTGTTAACATCTTGTCACTTCCCTACCTCCTCATCTAGGGAAGTCTGTATTTATTCACATACACATAAACATAGACAGAGGTGGGCAAAAGGACGTTTACAGTTTTGAGTGCATGAAATGCAGAGTTTATTCTTGTATTATTTATTCTTGTATTATTATTTATTCTTGTATTACATATTTTCTATACGAACAACTGCTAACCTACTTTTGCCTACCCCTGTATATGTACATTTAGGTGTGTGTGTGTGTGTGTGTGTGTGTGTGTGTGTGTGTGTGTGTTCGTTCTGGACCATTTGAAAGGAAGTTACAGATATGATGAATTTCATTCTAGACACTTCAGCACATCCTCCCAAGAAAAGGGCATTCATCTGTGTAACCACAATATCATTACCATACCTAAAACATAAGCCTAAAAAGTTAACAAGAATTTCATAGTATCATCTAATATACAGTTTATAGGTCAAAATTCCCAATTGTCCAAAATAAATGTATGTTATAGCTGTTAGTAAGGATCACATCAAGATACATAATACATTACTTTTAGTTGTTACATTTTTGCATTTTAATCTAAACTGGTCTAGACCATTCTTTTTTTTTGTTCTTCCTCATGATTTTGACATTTCTGGAAGTGTTTTTTAAAATGTCTACATACTGGATTTGTCTGATTGTTCTCATGATTAGTTTCAGACTACATTTTTTTGGTATGGATGCTTCATAGATGAGGTGTACTTTATGTTGCATCACATTGCAAGAACATAATGCTAGGTTATTTCACTAATTGCTTTTTTTTTTTTTAAGCACTTGAAACATTTGTAAAATAGAAACTCATATCCTCAAAATGTTTTCTGTTTTTCTTCCCCAAAGGAGTAATTTATAATCTTTATTTTCGAAGGATTCCTTCACCCAGGATCCTCTCACCCTTCCCTCTGGTATCCTCCAACTTGAAGAGGCTTCTAAAAAGTAACTTCAGTTTCTCTATCTTTACCTCTTCTTCTTACAGGATAGAAGCCTGTCTGTGTTAGTTTGTAAGGTAGTCTTTCTTTCTTTTTTTTTTTCCAAGGCCCGTATCTTTACTTCTACATAGAAGGATGTGCACACATAGTCTGGAAGCGCACACACACCCAGCAGGTGCTCTGCTCAGCTTTATAATCCCTGACGCACGTGACCTGCCCCTCACTCTTGATTGGAGCTCAGGCGCACGGTCTTTCCCGATTGGCTAATTCAACGGGAGGGGTTGGCCTTTGCCATTTCAAGATGGTGGCCCCGGGGGAGCTGCAAGCCATGTGGCCAACTTGGTGGCTGCCAAGTCACGCAGTCCAAAATGACGGCTGTCTACACTGCTTTTTGACAGAAAAGATGACTTGTTCAATCAAAAAAAAAAGAAAAGAAAAGAAAAGATGACTTGTTTCTTCTCATAGTTCTCCCCTTTTCTTTATTTAAACTCTTTTCTTAAAACTCGGCTGACATTCATTGACTTTCATGCTCTACAGCAGCAGTTCTCAACCTGTGGGTCGCGACCCCTTTGGCGGTTGAACGACCCTTTCACAGGGGGTGCTTAAGGCCATCCTGCATATCAGATATTTACATTACGATTCATAACAGTAGCAACATTACAGTTATGAAGTAGCAATGAAAATAATTTTATGGTTGGGGGTCACAACATGAGGAACTGTATTTAAAGGGCCAGAAGATTGAGAACCACTGCTCTAGAAGGAGACTAATTTGCTGTTTGGTCAATGTGGTTTCAATTAGTCTTTGGATAAGACCCCCCCACACACATGGGATGATGTGACATCCCATCTCTGTAACTTCTAATCAAAGGGGTGAGTGTGGACACCGTCGCTCTAGTGCATCAGAGAAAGGACCCTCGATCGCAGGCTCCAGCTCACCCGTCACTAAAGCTGCCAATGCCTTAGGCTCAGTGACGGTCCGTGCGCTGTGTTGTCAGGGATGAATGTGCAGCACTGACTCCAACATTACACATCTTCCTCCTTTTTCTGCCAGAATCAGATCCAAAGCCAACCTGTTCTCCCAGGTCATCCTGCTGCTGGCATCTAGCTGTTCAGCTATCCCTTTAGCTGCATCTCGAGCATAGTTAACAAGCCTTTGCTGGTTCTAGTAAATATAATTATTCTACCGCATTCTTGTTCACAGTGGCCACCAACACAGGACAGACTCAAACCTGGCAGCAATCTGATTTCTAGCCTTAGACTCCTTGGGACTCCTCCTGGAACCCCAGTGGGATCTGTGTGCATATGGGGATCAAAGGAGCCCCCTGGACTCTCTCCTCTTCCTGGGCTGTCTGTCCATTGAAAAAGGTTTACGATGTGCCAATGTGAAAGGGATAGCCAATTGTATCAGAGCACAAGGTCCACTCCAAATGCTGGGCAAGGCCCAAGTCAGGGTCCCCATGACACCACCAGACATCAGCACGGGTACCGACAGTGCAGCACGATGGGCTTCTGAGGATACTCGGCCGTTTACGCATCCGGATACATTTCTCTGAACTCCAAGCACTGTCCCCGCCCCTTGAGAGGCAGGAGGCATAGTTTATGTCGGAGGACGAGGCCGGATCGTTTTGGGGGGTCCTTGCTCTTTACCTCTGTTGGATGGGAACAACAGGGAGAGAGTCTTACAGGAAGCGTTTCCCCAGGCTGTTTCTTCCTGGTATAAGGCAAGCACACCTTCCATCCTGTTACTGTCTGAGGTCCATTCGAATGGGAATGGGACCACTTGGGTCTCTAGCCTTCCTGCCGTGCAAGCGTAACAGTAGCTTTTATTTAGGGTGTGAACAGAATATCTAATCCATTCCACCCAGGCATTCGTACCCTTATATCCTACTTCTATTTGCATGGTGGTGGCAGTGGC